CAGTGGTCCTGCAGTGGTCCTTCAGTGGTCCTACAGTTGTTCTACAGTGGTCCTACAGTGGTTCTACAGTGGTCCTGCAGTGGTCCTTCAGTGGTCCTACAGTTGTTCTACAGTGGTCCTTCAGTGGTCCTACAGTTGTTCTACAGTGGTCCTACAGTGGTCCTGCAGTGGTCCTTCAGTGGTCCTACAGTTGTTCTACAGTGGTCCTACAGTGGTTCTACAGTGGTCCTGCAGTGGTCCTTCAGTGGTCCTACAGTTGTTCTACAGTGGTCCTTCAGTGGTCCTACAGTTGTTCTACAGTGGTCCTACAGTTGTTCTACAGTGGTCCTACAGTGGTTCTACAGTGGTCCTGCAGTGGTCCTTCAGTGGTCCTACAGTTGTTCTACAGTGGTCCTACAGTTGTTCTACAGTGGTCCTACAGTGGTTCTACAGTGGTCCTACAGTGGTCCTACAGTGGTTCTGCAGTTATTCTTCAGTTGTTCTACAGTGGTCCTACAGTGGTCCTACAGTGGTCCTTCAGTGGTCCTACAGTGGTCCTTCAGTGGTCCTACAGTGGTCCTACAGTGGTCCTTCAGTGGTCCTACAGTGGTCCTACAGTGGCCCTACAGTGGTCCTTCAGTGGTCCTATACAGTGGTCCTACAGTGGTCCTTCAGTGGTCCTACAGTGGTCCTTCAGTGGTCCTACAGTGGTCCTACAGTGGTCCTTCAGTGTTCTAAAGTGGTCCTTCAGTGGTCCTTCAGTGGTCCTACAGTGGTCCTTCAGTGGTCCTACAGTGGTCCTACAGTGGTTCTACAGTGGTCCTACAGTGGTTCTTCAGTGGTCCTACAGTGGTTCTACAGTGGTCCTACAGTGGTCCTACAGTGGTTCTACAGTGGTCCTTCAGTGGTCCTACAGTGGTCCTACAGTGGTCCTACAGTGGTTCTACAGTGGTTCTACAGTGGTCCTACAGTGGTCCTACAGTGGTTCTACAGTGGTTCTGCAGTGGTCCTACAGTGGTTCTACAGTGGTCCTTCAGTGGTCCTACAGTGGTCCTACAGTGGTCCTACAGTGGTTCTACAGTGGTCCTACAGTGGTCCTTCAGTGGTCCTACAGTGGTCCTACAGTGGTCCTACAGTGGTCCTACAGTGGTCCTTCAGTGGTCCTTCAGTGGTCCTACAGTGGTCCTACAGTGGTCCTACAGTGGTCCTACAGTGGTCCTTCAGTGGTCCTACAGTTGTACCAAAGCTGCAGGTTTCATTACATCATCTAACAGCTGCAGCTGTTTGCTACCTCGGTTGCTGGTTCTGTTTTTTCAGGGTTCTGATACCTTGGCCTTTTTCAGCAGCAGGATCATCTCGTCTTCCTTCCTCTGAGCTTCATCACGCTTGTCTTCCTCTTTGCTGCTGAACAGGGAGAAGGCTGTGGCACACAGACTAAACGTCAGGGACAGGAAACTGTTTAAGAACAAATTTCTGGTTGGATGTTGGTTTGACTCCACCTACCAACTGCTGCCCACAGAAGTCTTCTTCCATCTCGTCTTCCTGGTTCTTCAGGAATGTTCCTTCTGGTAGCTTTGTGATCTTCCACAGTTACCCAGCATGCTGAGTGGTCTACTGCCTCAGCAACAATCAGGCTGGCAGTGGAGGTGTACCTGGAGAAGAGCAGAGCCAGAGGTTCAGGTATGTGTCACCTGAGTGAATCAGGTGGATGAGCAGTAAAATCACCCTGTAGTCAAGAACGTGCTTAATTTCACCAGGATGTGTTGATCCTTCAGTCAAGAACAATAATTTATAAAAAGTAATGATAAATGAAGCTGAACAGGAACAGTCAGACCAGAGTAGGAGGCTGAGATCATGCCTGATCCAAACTCTGAGGAGTTCACCTGAAACTCCAGACTGAAGAAGTCTTTTTGGAGGTGAGACGAAATGTTCCTTAACCTCCTGAGACCCTGTGTCCTCATATATGGACATTGCATGTTTGCCTCTCTACCCATGATGCATCATTTCTTAACTGTTTTTAATAACTGAAGCAAAGTACAGTGTCGGTGAGGATAAAGTCCTCATTTGAGGACATTGGGACAATAATTTAATTATTAATTGTGCCATGAGGTGGGACAAACCCACCAATATTTAGAAGAGTTTAAAAATGTAAATAGCTAGTGTAAGTGGTATATTTGGTCACAAATATTTGTTAAACAAATCTGGAAATGTTTAGAATAGTTCTTCCCAGTGGTCCATTTGTTCAACCAATTCATTAAACCAATGATGTTCAGGTCAACTGGTCTGCCATGTCCTGCAATTACATCACATAATATGTACTTCAAACTGAAGAGCAATCTGAAAGATGATGATGATGATGATGATGATGATGATGCAGTTCACTAATCTTGCTCTGGTTAACCGCTGGCTGCTGTATTGGCAAAATAATTAGGAAAATGGAAGCACCAGAAAGGCCATCATGAAGTTTCTCAAGTTTTGCTGGTCACTGCTTAGGTGTTCCTCAAAACGTGAGATTTTCAGACCCAGTGTCCTCACATGAGGACATAATTAAAAAAAAAAAAAACCACTTCCTGTACCGGACAGGGTCTAGTTATTATACTTATTAGGTCTTACTAATCCCACGTATCTTAGAGAATAAAGAAATGCAGACCCAGTTAAAGCTCAGATGTCAGGAGCAGTCCAGAGGACTTTTTTATTTTCTCTACCTGCTTCACTGATGTTCATCATTTCAGTGTTTTCACCAGCTCATGTCTGACACCAAACCCCACGGCCAGGTTTTATTTACCTGTACTTTCATCTCAACCAGACGTTGGTTCTTTTTTCCACAAACATTTTAAATCTTTATCATTTTAAACCTTTATCATTTTAAACTTTTATAATTTAAAACCTTTATAATTTAAACCTTTATAATTTAAAACTTTTATAATTTAAAACCTTTATAATTTAAACCTTTATCATTTTAAACTTTTATAATTTAAACTTTTATAATTTTGATAGAGTTTTATTGGATTTATTAAACTTCTTAAGGTGTTTCAAATAAAGTCTTGAGGTACGTGACAAATNCCTTTATAATTTAAACCTTTATCGTTTTAAACTTTTATAATTTAAACTTTTATAATTTAAACTTTTATAATTTAAACTTTTATAATTTAAACTTTTATAATTTAAACCTTTATAGTTTTAAACCACGCCCACCGTTTTGTTTTGCCAGTTATTTCCGCTCTGCTCTCCCTGCTGAACTCAGCGGTTCTGCGTCACAGACAGGACGGAACCAGCAGGTCTGACCGGGTCTGTGTTCGCTCAGCTCCGGAAGTTTACATTTAAACACCGAACCGGAACCGCCTGGCCTGCTGTAAAACTCACCTGGGTCCTCCAGAACACCTGAACCTGCTCACAGCTCGACTCAGCAGTGTCCGCAGCTGACAGGACGCCGCCATCTTTACTGTTTACATAACGACCGGAAACCAGGCTGCGGGATTTCAGCCTTCACAATAAAAGCTGATTTAATAAATTATTAATTTATTACTAAATAAATTTCACCAAGCAAAGTTAAAAAAGAGACAAACAGAAGTCTCTGTGGACTGACAGAAGACGAGCTTTCTGGCCGGTGTAGTCACAACAGTAAAACATGGAGGTGGCAGTGTGATGGTCTGCAGCCTGTTGCTGTGGTGAACAGAACCACCTGAGCTCCAGCTGAAGACCACCTGGGTCCTACAGCAGGTCCACCTGAGTAGTGATGGGCAGTTTGAAGCTGAAGCTTCGGTGCATGTATTTAAAAAACAACAACACACTGTGTCGGAGCTTAATTCGTTTGGTAAAAGTCATGTGATCAGTGACGTCAGAAGCTTCAAAAGTGAAGTTACGTCACTGCTTTGGTACCTGAGTCAAAGAAGTGAATCATTGGCTGGACTCGTGGTGTGTTCTCATGGCAAATGTGCAAAATATAACAAACCTGAAGGACTTATTGTGTGACACAGAGGCAAACAAACACATGTGTTCAGTTTGTTGTGCAGTTTATAAACCTGGACCAGAAAGAGTGGGGGTCACAGACCCACAAAGAAACTTTGCTGCGAGCGCACATGTGCGCGCGCGCACACGGACCCACACAGAACTGCAGCTCGGTTCATCATTAAAAAGAAAGCAACAGTAGCGCGACACATCCCTGAGCAGTTTCACTTGTTGCACAGGTGATGATTTTCATAAAAAACACAACCGGATGGTGTCGATGTCCTGTCGTCTGCAGGAAGGGCTGCAGGGCTGCAGGGCTGCAGGCTGCAGGGCTGCAGGCTGCAGGGCTGCAGGCTGCAGGGCTGCAGGGCTGCAGGGCTGCAGGGCTGCAGGCTGCAGGGCTGCAGGCTGCAGGGCTGCAGGCTGCAGGGCTGCAGGCTGCAGGCTGCAGGGCTGCAGGGCTGCAGGGCTGCAGGCTGCAGGGCTGCAGGGCTGCAGGG